GGGGGGGGGGGGCATCAGTGCATCCTGTGCTTGTTGCACATTCACCAAGCCCGGGATAGCCTTTGTGAGTTTATCTATCTGTTTCTGTAATTCCTGCAACTTATACTTTTTACTCTTCTTGGATTAATCACTTTCTCTGGATCTAGATCGTGACTGCTTCTTCGCCATTCTATCGTAAACTTTAACCCCTTTTTTTATGCAATACTTATAGTAAAAAATCTAAAACTTATATGCAAAACGTGGTGATGTTTCGGCACAACGAAACAATATGAGGGTAGAGGGCGCCGTGAACGCAACGAGAGGGCGCATGAGTACCAATTTTCAAAGTGAATAGGCGCTAAATTTTGTGGTGTTAAGCATGACAAGCATGACTACAATATTATCATCGAGAACGAGACATGTAGTATAATCAAGAATTTTCACGTGTTCATGATCGCGCGAACACTCTTCAATCCTGCCGCAGGCTCCACTCTAGAGGAAAGGGATATACTTATTCCCAGCGGAAAAATATTTTTAATGAATTTCTTTTGGGCAATATGACGCGATATAAACGGGCTTGGTATTATCGTATGAAACGATAATAATTAATTAATAATAAATTACAATTAATCTAACCTCGATTTGGATTTGTGATGTCTATTGTGATGTCTGTTTGTGATGGCTATCTGTCTATTGATTTTTTATTTTTTCCTTAGTCCAGAATTTGATCTCGCGTATAATGATAATACGTAATTACGAACCTACACCCGCTTCTGTTGGGATTAACATTGTTGACTTAACGAGACATCAGCACCGTTATAATAATAGCATTCTTATTTCAGTCAATACTCTCTATACCGTTTATTACAAAAATATTTCCTATGATAGTGTGCATGATCACACCATCACAGGCTGCACAACATCACCACTCTCAGGTGATTCAGTGCCGGTCGGCAGCAACAATGTAGGAAAGTACAGGGAAATATGTTTACACTCAATAATTTACAACAAATTTATTTGAACTAAAACAGATTTCTGACTGACAATCGTATTATGATAGATTCTACATGCAACCTTGAATTCACGACGCCATGCTCTACATCACATATTGTTTAACTAACGTAGTAAAAACTAAATAAAAAAATTCCAAGATTTTTTTATTAAGTAATCATCGTATTCATATTTGGTGAAATAAGAGTGTTTCATAAAAAATTCATCTACTTTCACCACCTAAAAGCTGAGATATTTCAGAAAAAAATATAGCTGTTTTAACATATGAAGTATATCCAAATACTGAAATTTTGACTATTTTACGATGTGCTACATCATACTGAACGACGTATATTTATGGCAAATATTAATCTTAATTTTAATTAACGCAGTAGCTACCTCAAGCTGTACGTGTATTATTACAGTTTCAATTTATTCGCGTTTCGGGAATTATAAATCTTCATTTATTGATGTGGATTATTGGATTTTGTTCTGCAAACAGATGAATGTTAATTATTGTTAGTAATTTGTTTGGATTTGTATACACTGAGTCGATTTAAATTATGGATTAGTGGATTTGTTTTTGGTTTATTGAAAATTCTTTATTTTAGTTTATTTCTAATAAGTATCATGGGATGTGCACCGAGTGGAACACCTTACAAGAGCGGTGGACTTAGATTGATGGCAACCAAAATTACTTTTACGAAAGATCAGTTGGATAATCTTAATGCGTATTTCTTGAAAAATATAGAGGAGGAACATTGTAGAGGTAAGTTTATTTTGGCTAAAGAAAATTCCCATACCGGGAATCGAACCCGAGCCTCCTGGGTGAAAGCCAGGTATCCTAGCCACTAGACCATATGGGACTTCTGATAATCTTTATTTCAATAATCAACATCTCTTTTAGTTAATTGTTAAATAGGACAACGATAAAAATAAAAATAACAAAGATATTTATTACTGAAGTTTTAGGAGAAATAACAGAAATTGAGGGAATAGTGGAAAGATTGGTTCAAAGATTAATTGTGGCTGTTGGTAACCTTGACTCCAGATTCTCCAGTATGTTTTTGGTATCGCTAAATGAACGACGCAGAATAAAGGTAAATCAAAATATATTTTTTATTGCAAATTAACACTGTTAAAAAAAGTATAATTAATTGATGAAAAAACAACAGCAATTAAGATTCGAGTATTTAGTACGTCTGGACGCACTATCAACTCCCACTGTACTTCAAGATAATGAATCGGCAGTGAATATCGAAGAAGATACGTCTATGCCAGGATTCGCACGACTTAAGATACTAGGATCAGGAGCAGAATCCTGGAGTGAATTTCTAGGTCCCGCAGGTAGGATCAGAAGGGATCTGCTCAAGAATAGACTGACAAATCTTTTGGCAGCCGCTATAAAACCAGGTAATCAAACGAATTAGACAGAAACAAATTTAGGTAAAGAATATATAAATCAAATTGAATTTCAGAAACCATAAAAGAGATCGACGACAGAACGTGCTTCACACCTGGGCAAGTGGTAGATCCTGAGATCCTTGACAATATTCTGAAACAACCGGATCACTGCCGGATCTTCTTTGGACCTGGTAAAAATATATATTGACACCTAACTTTATCTATAAACCGACCGAAGTGGCTCACGTTAGTTTTAATAAAGGGAGCTGCGTAAATTGGTCTTTATATTAGGTGTACCGGAAAGTTCTGTCCGTTTCTATGACAACAATTTTCGACACGTAAGCACGTGTTTATTTAGGGCATGTTCGGCTCTCTATTTGTATAACTTAATGTATACATACTGACGTACCAAATTAACTAAAACAATAGTGACAACAAGTAGAGATAGTGTACCCATGGCTAGTGATAAAATTCATTTACGCCATTGTATTTTATACGAATTTCAACAAGGAACAAATGCTACAGAAGCATGTAGAAATTTATTGAAAGTGTTTGGTGTAGGTACAGTTTCTGATAGGATATGCAGAAGATGGTTCGAAAAATTTGAAACAGGTGATTTCGACCTTTCTGACAAGCCACGTTCTGGGCTACCATTTTTGATCGACGACGATGTTGTTACGATCATGTTGGAGCAAGATCTTTTTCTGAAAACATCGGAGATCGCAGAAAGGCTGACTTTCAATTCGATTTCCAACGTGGACACTGATTACAACAAGCTCTACGTTGGGGATGAAGTTATCACTATATCTACTGGTAACTACGAGATCGAGGATATCGAAAACTGCTACGTATATGGAAAGCTGGACAAGGAAGATGGGTCTACAGCGACTGCGAGCACGACTCTGGTCAACAATGCCATTTGCCATCTCTTCGAGGAGATTCGCTATGAAATAAATGCTATAGAGATCAACCGGAACAAGAACGTAGGTCTCACGAGTCTCATGAAGGGATATGCTTCCCTAAGTCCCAGCCAACGATCCTTGATGGAGAACGCCGGTTAGCTCGACGTCAGAAAACAGGAGAAATTGACCAATGCAGACGGTTACTTCGACGTATCCATTCCGCTGAGTCTGATACTGGGTTTCGCCGAAGATTATTGCAAGATTGTCGTTATCGCTAAACACGAGTTGATTCTGACGAGAGCAAAGAGCGATATCAATGCAATAGTGCAAACTGCTCCGCAAGAATGCAAAGTCGTAATTCAAACATTGGAATGGCTGATACCGTACGTAAAGGTATCTGATAAACAAAAGATACAACTGCTGAGATTCATCGACAGAGATGCACCCATCTCCGTGAGCTTTCGTACCTGGGAGCTGTACGAGTACCCTCTACTCCCCACCACTTCGAAACACGTGTGGACCGTCAAGAGGTCAACTCAGTTGGAAAAACCACAATACGTGATACTGGGTTTTCAGACGAACAGAAAGAACAAGAAAAATAAGAACGCAAGTAATTTTGACCACTGCAACGTCAGAGACGTTAAGCTCTTTTTGAATTCGCAATGTTATCCCTACGGAAATCTGAATCTTGACATTGATCATAATCAGTTTGCTCTGCTGTACGAGATGTATGCAAACTTTCAAGCTACGTACTATGGCATGGATCCTGAGCCTTTGCTGAAGAAGAATGAATTTCTCGAGTACGCTCCATTGATCGTTATCGATTGCTCCAAACAAAACGAGTCCTCAAACTTGGACCTGTTGATATTCGTCTGGAATTCGAGGCGCAAGACAATTTCCCTGCCGATACATCGGAATTCTGCCTGATCCTGCACGATCGTATAGTCGAATACAACCCGATCAGTGGTGGGGTGAAAAAATTGGTATAAAGAGGCTGTAATCGTAGCCCCCTGTGCAGTTCATCATAATGGAATTCATCGTGGAAGTACAAGGTTTCAAGAAACCCTCGAACCAGTTTGTTTTGAAGGAGATATCCGGGATTGGAGTCGGCAGCAATTTCTCCGAGCCTGCAACTATTCTCTTTCAACCACCTTGTCCATGGAAGCATCTGCCGGCTAAATACAAAAGTATAAATTTGTGATTGGAGCGCAATTTTCATGGTATATCCTGGAGCACTGGGGACGTTGCTGACAATCAAGCAAGAAACATCCTTCGAGTCATCTTGCAAAATGCATCTAAGATCTATGTAAAAGGATTGGAGAAGAAAATTTGGTTGAGAACTTTCATTGGACGATCTGAGCACATCGCGGATCTGGGAGATCTGGGATGCCCTTCGTTGCAAAAATTGCGCAAAAACTCACTTACTCGATGTACAAATCATCATGCTCCACATTTTAATTACTCTACTGAAAATGTGAAATTGTTAAGGAACTGGTTGTCAGAATGTATATTTTTTGATTATGAACAAAGACATAAGATATAATAAGTTGTATAATAATTTAACACGTATACATAGTAGTTGAAGCACGAGCACAAAGTTTATAGACATTGGAACTCGATCTGGTTGTACTGTCCGCCGAGATAACGCATCAAGACTCGATTCTCCTCACAGGCTTGCATCATCTTCTTCAATAGATCCTCGTCGTCATTCAAAGCTTTTGCCATCCTTGCAGGTAGAAACGTCGAAAAGCTGTCTTCTACTTTGAGGATCAGTCTCATCCCATATTTGGTTTGAACTTTTCTTATTCTGGTGAAGGCTGTTATAATCGCTTTTAGCTTCAATCAATTGTTTCACTTCCACTATGTTCCTTAATAGTAACTGTATTCGAACTCTGACCTCGCGTTGTTTCCTCTTATTTAACATCGGTCAAATTGTCATGGTAGACTAACGAAGGCACTTTCAGCTCCTCCTTTTATAGGAAACTCTTAAGAATTAAAATTTGGATGGGAGGTTTCGGAAATTTGTAGGAATCGAATCGCCGATAGAGATTCCTGGAATCAATGTCAAGGTCGATACATCTTCCAAACGGAGCGACTTACGTTCTAGAATTTTCGGATGAACCTTAGCCCTTCTCCTACAAAGTTGCGTCGCGCGCATACGTATCTACAACGAGTGATTTGACTGCATTCTCGACGCACGACTCTGCGAGATAACGTTGGGTATTGCGCATTTGAACAACCGATACATAGATTGTTTCTAGAATGACTTTGACCCCGCCACTGCGCTTGCGAGAACCATTTCGACCTGTACGAATCTGCACGAGGCTTCCAAGGTTTTCCTGGAATTGTTTTGCATCGATTCGAGCGATAAGACACCTACCCGAATTTCGCACTTTGAGCTCGAACTCTGCATCAAAAAGTTTCCGAAGTGCACAAAGGATCGCTTATTTTCTGCGAGTAATTCGATACCCTGAATAACAAGATGAAACCAGTGTCCAGCTGTCGCCTAAAGTCTGCATGGTGTCGGGGGAGTCATCGAAAGCTTCGGGGAGGGGGCTGCCGTTCGAAACCTGCACGAAGGCTTCCTGGAATCGATTGGCTAACGAGAGCCGACAAATTTCCTGGAATCGACGCTGCTGCTGCATCGTCGATGCGCAATTCTGTGAAATAACGTTCGAGGTCAAACAGGCTGAGGGCTGCCGCCCGAAACCTGCACGGGGTCCGTCGAAGTTTCTTAAAGGCTCTCCGGGGTGGGTGGCAAAGGGTTGTCTCAAAACGTCGCGCGAGAGGACTGCCGGCTCTGGGAGTGATCCTTCGCGGCTTAGCACGCACATGAACCATTGAAGCTTCTAGAATGTTCTAGAAGGTTCTCGATCGTGTGCGATTCCTAGAATCGAGCGTAAAATTCCCGGAATGTGACGCAAAATTTCTAGAATCCCTCATAATTTACTAGAAAATAGGGGCTTCAGTCACTTCCGGAAATCGTAGAGCTCACGACACCAACTTAGCACGGATACCCACCTTCGAAGGTTCTAGAGTGTCGGTATAGATCGGTTACAGGAATCGTGGTCCAGAACCGGCCCAGCTATACTACTTGATGTTTAAGGTTATTCGAATTAGCGGGATGTTTTTACTACCGTGATGCGAATATCCTCGGATGTATTGGTTACAATATATATATATATATATATATACGTGATTTTCTTCCTCAACCCGCCTCGTAGCAAGACGATCCGATCGCACCACAAATGTGAGGGACGAGACTCTAAAGTTTTCCCGGGAAAACGCAAGGAGAAAATCGGTACAATATGAAAAGCCAAATGGGCGCCAGACGCAGCGTTGCGTCACGTATCACGCGAAACTCCCGAGAAAATTAAGAGGACTCTGGCTAGTAGGAAAGAAACGGAAAGGTATGGTAGAGGGGAGGGGAACGCACAGGTGGTAAAGAAAGAAGGTTGAGAAACCGCAAGATATTCAGTAACAAATAAAAAGGGGGCCCTTTTATTGGGACTTATCAAAGTAACAATTAACAAATCAAATAACCTATGGCGAATATAAATAATCGGTAACACAATACCGCGCGAGACGAGGTCCCATACGGGACACGCGAACAAAATACGATAAGAACAAGTTTACACGATAGCTAAAAGGTCCTTGCGAGACTCGTGAAACAAAGAGAAATAACTCGGTCTGTGATACGTTCTAATCCCGTGACCTACAGGTCTCGAGGCACGATGTGCTCTCGCGATACAATTCGTCGTTCGAAGAGAAGCGCAGGAATTCCGCTATTCGCGGCCGTGAATTCACGATACGTCCTGCACGATTCACGCAACGCGCGAGCCAGACAGACGAACGAACGGTAGGCGGAGTATGGTTCCCGCAGATATTGTCGCTTAAACTTTCGAGCAACTGTATCACCCCAGTAAGAAGGTTATACACAGAATCGTATAGAGGAGACCGCGTAAAAGGCTATACAATATAGAAAAAGTAATATCCAAAAGAAACAGGTATAAGATAATGTCGCTAAATAATTAATCCGCGGTTCAATTTCATGAACCTACGGGAAGTGTAGTTCATGAGTTCTTACGATCACAATCCAGGGTCACTGATAACGTTGATACTAAACACATTTAAGGAGAGAGACTATATAAAAGTTCACGCTAAGGCACGGAATCTTTTCCTCTGGCGAAACGCGATCTGCTCCTCAGTCGAAACCGGGAGGATAATTACGAAACTATAAAGGGACTAAGGCCCACTACGCACAGAGTACTCAAGATTTCGTCCTTCTGGGCGTCGAGATGCTTACCGTGAACGATACAAGTGCTGGATACAATGATACGATCTTCTTTTGTCTTTCTGATTGAAGCGAAACCACCGGCCAAGACTGTTGTCGCAAGAATGACGCTCGAGGGTTCGTCGGCTTACCGGTCGGGGCTAGCTCCCTCGCGGTAAGTCTAGTTAGGCCCAATGGGCTAATCGCCTACGCGGATTATTTCAGCCAATCAGGGCTTACGCGCAAATATTCAAAACATGCCTATGGACTAAGTCGATAATTATAGAATACTATCAAAATAATTTGTTAACTACCCGACGCGAGATGCTCCATAATAGAGTAGAGATTTAACCAGAGCCTCCAACGGATCGTATAACTACGATACTGGGAAGGATGGTACGCAAATTCTATGTTCCTTTAAAGTCTACGCGCGATACAAGGGCGTACGTCGACTTTTCGCGAGACTCGGAACGTGCGGACGCTCGACGGGGCTTCTGGCCGTGTCTTCTTGGCGTCCAGGTAGTAACGGGTAGATGCTGCAGTCCGGTCCTGGGTTGACGGGACGTTGCAGTGGCGGAGGTCGCGATCCCTCGGCCTAGGGAAGCTCCCTGAGCTCCCTCTTCGACACAGGTGCCTTTAGTTGGGCACCGGTATCGGGACTGACGAGACGTGATGTAGTCCATGGCGATGTTCTCTGCACCTTGGCTCCCTACTTTATTCGGGACCGGGCGTGACGGGGTGGAGGCGCCTGCTGACGTTGGCGTTCTTCCACGCTCCCTGGCGTAACCTTCGGCTGCTTTCCTTCGACGATACTAGAGAGGATGACTTCTCTCTGATGGTTGCTTCCTCGGTGTTAAGTTGGCTCGACGTATCGCATGAAAGTTGTGGTATACAAAAACAATTAGCCTAATCTCATTATATTTATTAATCGGGACCCTGGAGTTCTTGGCCGGTACAGTCGGATATTATCTCTCCCGAGGGACGGTACTGCGTCCCGTGATCAAGAGCACGCGAGTACCACATCGGGACTTTTGTGGCGTTAAAAATTAACGTCACAATATATATAACATATATATATATGTTGATTATCGGAAAAGGGTTAGTTGTCAATCGATATATTAAGAATTTTGAAGAAGGGGGATCACATTGACAAATCAGAAGTAGTTTTACTGCTATATAAAAGGAGTCAGAAGTCGCATTCGGTGATATGGTTAAAAGAGATTTAAGAGAGCAACATTAGAGTTGTCGAGTGTGTTAAATCATATTCAAAGTTCAAATTAGAGTCGCGAGTAAAGTCAAAATATACCAAGTACCTCTAAACTTATCCAAGTTACCAAAATCAGAGTATTCACAATTACTTGTAACCTTCCCGAATAGATCTGAAGCCGTTGTATATCATCTTTAATGATATTGCAGATTATCACAAAATTATGGTTCTCGGAGATGAGCCCGTGACGGAGATCTCGAGATTTCGCAAGCGCACCCGAAGCTTCCCCGCCATTTTTCATTAGGAAAGCGATGAAAGAGAAGTTTTATTTTTATCCACGTTGTAGCTGAGATTTCAACGATTAAAACGCGCTTTTAAACATCCAAATACGAGTACGCTAAGGGGTTCAATTATCCGTTTGAAAAAACTTCTAAATTTTGCGAGTGCCGCTCGAGGCGCTCGGGGGACTACTACCCTACCACGCGCGGCAAGCAATTGTCCCCCGAGCGCCTCGAGCGGCACTCGCAAAATTTAGAAGTTTTTTCAAACGGATAATTGAACCCCTTAGCGTACTCGTATTTGGATGTTTAAAAAATTGCTTGCCGCGCGTGGTAGGGTAGTAGTCCCCCGAGCGCCTCGAGCGGCACTCGCAAAATTTAGAAGTTTTTTCAAACGGATAATTGAACCCCTTAGCGTACTCGTATTTGGATGTTTAAAAGCGCGTTTTAATCGTTGAAATCTCAGCTACAACGTGGATAAAAATAAAACTTCTCTTTCATCGCTTTCCTAATGAAAAATGGCGGGGAAGCTTCGGGTGCGCTTGCGAAATTTCAAGATCTCCATCACGGAATCATCTCCGAGACCAATAATTTTGTGATAATCTGCAGTATCGTTAAAGATGATATCATGCAAAAAGTGGACCAGATTGGTTGGCGCGTTCGGAAGTTATGGCCATTCAAGTGTTTTCACTTCAAGGGGGTGTAACTCTCCCTAGAGTGATCCTACAGGGGTTCAATGGGGGTGTTTTTTTAATGCCGAAGGCCTCTTTCGTCCCCTAATTAGAAATATGAATTTCCTTCCGGAAGTACTAGATCTCGAATTGTTCAAAAAGTTCCAAAATGCGCTTTTTCACTCTAACCCCTGCCATTCGGCCATTTTGTATCCGATCGGGATAAAACTTTTACCATTCGAACGGGAAGAAAATTTCCTAAAAAACGTGTCTTTGGTTTTTTGAAATCTGTCATACTTTCACAGATATGTAAAAAAATTCAAGTGTTGCACTTCAATTGGACGTTACTGTATATACTACCTTCTTTTCCTACCGTATATTACATTAGCCAAAAAAAGCAACCGGATAATTCAACATAGCTGGTGCCCTATAAATCAGAACGAAACGGTTGAGTGGAGTTGTTTAATTATAACTGGTGAGATTTAAAATAATCACTTCCAGAAAATAATGCCGCTACCAGCCTAGGAACGAGTAAATCATCGAACTTGCCTCGTTAGTGAAAATGGGGGAAAAACAATGAGAGCCATTAAATTTATTTTTTCCCAAAAAATGCTTTAGATGCTTCCGCATGGTTGGATATAATCTATACAGGTATAACTATCGATATATAACTCTGAGCTTTGCCATGTGGAAACAAGGGAAATATATTTTTAAAAAAGGACATAGCGTCCGGCAAAGGGTTTGAAATGTTTTCTTGTAATACTCAATTTGTTTTTATGCTTTCATTTATGTTTTCGCATCTACCATCTTATTCCATCTTTATTTGACAATGATTTTTTATACTTGTGAATATCAATTAAACTTTGAATAGTATTGCTTCTATAACAAGAATTATTTTATTATTTTTAGCAACGTCTGAGGGCACATTTCCAGAACCACGAGATCATCGTATAGCTATAGTTGAAGACGCTTCTGGTATTTTATTAAAAGTCGGATTAGGTGGTATTTTTTCTAAAAAATGCAATGAAATAGAAGTTAAATTGTTAATTGGAGCAGCTACCGCAACTTGGTCCAGTCTCGCAGATTATCCTCGAAGAGTACCACTTCATCACTGCGATGCTTTGCTCCACTTTACGGCAGCTCAAAGCGTGAGTTCATCCTACAAAATCATATAAAATATTTAATTCAATAACAATATCTCAATCCAACAATAACGATCAAAATGTTATATGTCTAAATTACAAATAAAAAAATGTGCATCTTCGTATTTTCCAGTTACAGAAACGTTTATCCAAATACGCAAAAAAATTGTTCAATCCTCGAGGTAATTGTAATTTTGAAGTAGGTAGACAAAAATCTAGTATATGTCAACCAAGGGATAGACCGGATGCTGAAAGGGCTTTTTTCTTCTCAAGTGGAATAGGGAGACTTTTCTTTAAGTTTAGACTCTGAAGCGCACTGTTCCACTTACAGAGGTTCTTTTCCAGTTGCATGCAAATGCCGCAGTCATTTTTATGCAAATAAACCATCCTTCTCAAGCATTTACATAGATGCTGCTAAGTAAACTCCTGTGAAATTAGGGTCCCGACGACAAAAGTCGAAACGAGTACTGTAGAATAACGATAAGAACATTTTTCCAGCTCATCATAAGAATAACAAGGTGAAAAGTTGTAATCATTTCCATGTATGTGATGAGTCAATGAGGCATGAGGATAAAAATGAATAACAAAAAGATATTGTATAATAAATCAAGGCAACCGTTCCAAAAGTTCTTCATTATATATGTATAGTTCAGGGTAAATAAGACCTTAGCACGATTTGATTTGACATGGCACAATCGATGATCGTACTTTCATGTGACTTAAAGGATTTTTGTTTCTTTTCAATATATGTGTTGATACAGTGACACAGATATATGTATTTTTCAGGGTATGTACGTCGTCGCCGTCGGTCCACATCCTGGTGCCCGGTGCGAAGATCGTGCCACTTTGTGGAAGATTCGCATACCAGCTGTTGAAACAATTGCTGACCGTTATTATTCAGAAGACAGTGTACCATCTCTCACAGAGTCAGTGCTCATGGAAATTCTTAATCAATTGCGAGGTAGACGATCACTTGATTTGCCGATAAAAACTAAGGTCAGTTTTATAAAAAAAAGAAATTATCAAATAGATATAAAATTATTAAAAATTAAGTATTCTAATCTTCTGTATAACTTTCGTTAGTACTGAATTGAAGTTGATTTTTATAAGGTTTTCACGTATTTAATGAGATGTTATATTTAGAGACATACTAGTCACGATATTCGACAGTATTTCTGTTCTTTTATCTCTAACGGTTGCAATAATTGTTTACTGCGAAGTCATGCCGCGACGCTGATTCCCATAAGAATACATTATTTCGTTTGAATATATTGCTCTGGTACGAACACTGGAAAAGCCAAGGGAAAATGACGTAATGAAAAAAGTTGGATCGATTTAAGATCTCTCGCCTTTCACTATCACAGTATCCAAATAAACAATAATCTCAACTGCCTCCCATGGGACCCCTTTTTCTTTTAAAATTCTTTCATAAGTCTTTGACTGATCTGCCATTATAGAAAAAGTGGATATATTTCACAAACCGTACCGTCGGGACGTCGAAACTTACAAATTGAATTTCAATTACTTTCATCTGAATATCAATAAAAGATGCTCTTTGTTATCTTGCCATATTTCTGCCCATCGGTTTTGGATAATGACAGATACAGACGGTAATGACAGATTTCTGTCAATGATTATGTATTTTTTCGTCTTACAAGTATTTATTCATTGTATACGGTTTTCTTTCCTGTTTTTATTTCAATTTGTAATAAATATCTTTTTACAGGATGTTCTCAGGATCGTCTCCCGTCATATTCTCAAGACAATTCACTGGTGGTCCTTGGAAAGAGCTGGTCCAGATCCTCTCAGAAGCTGGGCGCCTAATACTCTCTCAAGACACGTTCTTCTCGTACTAGACGAGTTGGTAACTGCGTTAAAATGTCAAAACTTAAGATGTTATTTTTATCCTCGCTGCAACGTGATGCTACAGTGCACGAAAGGTAATAAAATTTCATGAGACAATTATCACAGCTTGAAATATATAGTATACTTCATAGTTTAATTACCATCGCTTAATAATCATCAATTACGTAATTTTACATTAACGAGACCCATTACACCGTACACCATCGAGAATTCTTATCAACAGACTATTGAATCGAAGTATAAATTGCAGAGATAAATTTCTGAAAAGTTATAACACTTTTCAACATCAGTTTACGGAACCGACATATTTCCATTATAAGTCCATTATATAATTTACGTTGTATCGACATATTAAATCATCCAAGCCTTATTATGAATTTAATAAAATTCCCTTACCAACAGTCAGTAATTTCCCGTTCGACAAATCAATTCCAATTAAGCGGGAAATGCGTTTCTTTCTTTTCTATCAATGCATTTTTTCCTCTCGTTTCATTTCCAATAGAATATATTGCAGTCACAACACTGTATGTTAGTAAACTGAGCGCGTAAAGAGGTAGATGAATACTTGACTAGCAATTTTCCAAATGTTTGCGGTTTCCGCCTTGGTCTCCTTCGTCGGTCATGAATTCGATTAGGAAAAAATTAAAAGGGGGATTCATATCTAGCGAAGCACTCAGCTCCTGGCCTAATTAGCAGGAAGAGTTGAAACTATTTAATAAAATTGACGAATGGCATATATTACATAAGGCTGTAGAGGTGCTTCCACATGGTGTTGGAATTTTGTTAATTTCCAAGTACGAGACCAATAAGCGAGGTGGCCAACTTTTTAACACTACGCGAACCAGTAGCAGCCGGTATATGAACTGGAGTATGAATTCAATCGTAGAGACGGAAGCAAAGCTATCGAAATGAACGTCGACAAATATCACCTAATTGCCATCACGCGTTGCCGAATGATATATCGCTACGTAATTGCAATTATATCCAAGAATAAGCCAAAAAAAATGAAATATAAGATATCCGGGAACGTTTTTCCCAAAGCTCGCCATCCTTATTGTTTCAAAAGTATTTTCTAATACGCAGAAAACAATTATTTCTAACCCTTGCGGGAATTGAATTTATAATAGTTATCCGGTAAAATTTGCCGATTATTATTATAATAATTATTAACTGACCATTAAATCAGAATCAACTACGGGAAGCAGTAGTAATGTAAAAGAGTAGCGAAAACGTTATAGGAAATTTCGAAAATACAATTAAAATGATGGGCTGCGGCTAGATCATATAATAGGCAAATATGTAGTGACTTATGTACTTGACCTCAATAATATGATTTCAATACTTTTTGTGAGAGGAATTCATAGCACTCCTGTACTTGGCGTAGTTTTTTACACGTAAGTGTTTTTTTGGGGGATTAAAATTTGTCGCAGTTTTTGCATGCGGTTCTTTTGATATCTTAAAACAAAAATATTTTATCTCTCGGGTGTACGAGTAGTTTTCCAAGCTCCCCGTGTCACGTCATTTTAATTACCGCCAAAAGGAAACTTGATTAAAAGCTTATTCGCATTCCTTTTCAAAATCTTTTCCAATTATTCGTTCAACTTTTCCGCGTAAAACTCTGCTTGTTCTTCGTGTGATCGTGACGCGAGTCACGAGTCACCCTTAACACTCCAACAACCGTGGCGAGGTCACTAGTAAGAGATTTTCTTTTATTTTCTTTCAACCCTCTTTCCCCACCCTAGAACCACCCTCTAAATTACGATGAAAGCTGCCGTCGTAGATACACTTGCACGTATCTTCAGTATTGCAGCTTTCACGGATAATCTTAATCATTTAATTTTGAATGAGCTTCGAGAGGTTGGACTTTTGTCACCGATTCCCATGACATTCTCTACTCTCTCTACTGTATATTCTAGTTATAATTCTTAATATTATTATTATTTCCAGACCATAATACAGAAAAAGAAAGATATACATATGTACATATACATATATAGAAACAAGCAAAATACGGCTAGAATCAATCCTATATACTTAAAATATAACACTAAACATAAATATCACTCATTCTCACTATGAAACTATGATAATATCCATATAAATATATATAATCTGATTGTAACGTCAATTGATATTCGTTGGAATGCCACATAAAAAATTTGAATTTTTAATCGACTAAGAATCCCGAAATCAACCATTCGTCGTCAACAAAGTCTAGATACTTGTACATACGTAATGAATGTGTACAATATCGATAAATACTGTAGAAGAGTCGTCCTTATATATCGTCTTTGTCATCACATCGGCATGATGTTCCAGAAAGAGGATTATTCCGAATTGGTTGATGGATTTTTGCTATTTTTATGTTCTTCGTACCGCCGATGCCATGTGGTTTCCAATCATTCATTCCATATATTAGCAAAAACCAAAAAACCCTGTCGCATGATATCGTTCTCTGCTGCTATTAAGGGGGAATACACAAATAAAGAATAAAAATTCTAGGCTAACGGTTAACTCGCATAATGTTAATAATATATACCTGATATATTCGGCGGTAATACTCAGTAAAACAGAAGGAATTCGATGTTTCGTCCAAGACAGTCGATTTGCGAAAGGGAAGAGAACCCTCGTGCGATTAGCTATCTCGGTTCCTGTGAAAAGAGAGAGGGGATACTAGTAGAGCCCCTCTAGTAAGAGTCCGGGCTCATACATCCGGGCTCATCATGATTGGCTCCGCCATTTTGAGGGCTCTTTCCGGAATAGGATGTGTGTGTGCGTGCGTGCGTGCGTGCGTGGGCGCGCGCGCGTGTGTGTGTGTGTGTGTGAATACGTATATGGGAGGGATTCGCATTGTGTAATGTGGGTAGTGTTAATCCCTGTATGGCGGGTTGCCTGTACTTGGCGCGCGACTCTTGATGGTAAAGATTGGTAGTTGGAAAATCCGCGCGTAATGTCATGGCGGCTCCAAACGAGCCCTAAACATGGCGTCCCTTCCGGCTATTGGCCGGAGTCTTACTAGAGGGACTCTAGATACTAGTATACAAGAGTGCCCTCAGTGACGTTTGTAACGTATATTATTTCCAACTGTCAAGACTGGTGAAGTACCAGTTTCCTCGAATGACGATTTTGGCCACTTAGCTCTTAGAGTGAACCAGGGTTCGGAATTGTAAAGGGATAATTGTGTTACAGCAATAATAAAACGTTCTTTTCAGGTAAACTTTTCTTCGTTTATTATGATTTGCGTCTCTATACGGTATCATCTATCGGTTCTATTACAATCGGTGTAATTGAAAATGTCGGAGGAATTGACTTGAGGATGTGGAAGCCAACACTTCCAGCTACGGATGATGCGTGATTTGAGACTGTGGAAGCCAACACTTCCGGCTACGGATAATGCGAGAGCGATCACTCTCTGCTAATTTGTCCAGGGTAGCTAAACGCTGCGCTACTGGACTCGGTACACGGACTAAGTAGCTCAATGCTAATATGTCCAGGGTAGCTAAACGCTCCGCTACTGGACTAAGTTGCTGAAACGAAACTAGAACCACAGAGTCCTCAACGGACGGTGTGATCCAAAAATGGTTCTCTCTCAGATGAGAGAAGCTGGATATTAGTTGCAGAATTCAGGATGCAGGATACAAGATGCAGGATACAAAAGTATATATCGATGGCGAAGAAGACGAAAACCGCAAACTCGACGGATTCATTATTTACCCGGTCCTACGTTTTTACATGCGAGTTGCCTTGGCTACCTCGTGGCGCGGCAGCGAACTAGTGCTCGCTCGGATACCCCGTGTCTGGTTAAGGACTCTTGTCACACGTTTATTATAATTAACAATTAGGAAATAACTCTGTCGATAACTAACCGTTACACTACGTGGATTTAGAGAAATTCAAGTAGAAGCATTATAGCTTGTCGTAGTTAACGGAACACAAATTCAGAGTGAAAGAGTTCGTTAGTCGTCCCTCAATTTGGGAATTATGATCTTATTAGGAATTAATCATACTGAAAAGTAACATGAAGACCGACATAAGAATAGTTTTGAAAGTTAGATTGTGAACTGAAGCATAAAGGGGGGGACTCACTGGCGCACAGACCCCCTTGGACACAAATGACTTTTTACTGCAAATTCTGTCCACTTCTAAATAGATGGAATAGAATTAGGTACGAACGATGTCTTATTATAGTATATCGTATGTGGTTCAACATTAGTTTACGCTAGGTTTAGTTAGGTAAGGTTAGAATAGGGTGGAATGTTCAAATTTCGGAGACTGGGTAGGTTAGTGAATAAGTATATCGTCGGCGAGCGAGCAAAGCGAACGAGTCCGACTGAAGAGAGCATTAAATCCTTGAAAAGACCCCGTCAGATAAAGATAACTTACAATATAGTTGAATTAATGATGAAATATTGCTCAAGAGGCAGAAATTCGCATTTGTGTCCAATTGGGTTTGTGCGCAACTGGGCATCACCCCACTACGTGTGATATAATAACAGGAGCTCTCATTATTGCAACGTGAAACCGCTTTGGTCGTAAGTTCATCAGCAATGATGAAGTATCCACGATCTTGGTGTCAGGATGGTTCATCCAGATCATGAACAAGACTCCTCACGAAGAGACAGAAGAGGAGAATGAGTTAAGGATTCTGATTCAACAGGAATGTGAAAGGAAAAATGAGCCAAGGGATAATATACGATTTCTTGAACAGTTTTCTGAAATCCGTATGATAATTAATCCAAAAAGTGAAAGTATCGGGAAATTCCACGTTCATGCTCGTCCTACAGCGTTACTTGTTTGGAAACTCGTTACACTAGTTTGGCGACTGGTTTAATAATTTGCCGCAGTCCTGGTTACCCTGGTCCGCTAGTGCTGTATCTAGATCCATACATTAGCCAGGAATATCGCTCTCTCGAAAATACGCAGCTGAGCCTGAGAGAGACTATAAAGAGGGTCGAGAGATGAGAGTGTGAGTATATGAATAAGAGAGATGGTAGGTCTATCCATATGATGTCTTACGGCGGCATGGATCGTTACTTTAGGTTCCAGAAATATTAGATATTCTCAGGTTTTTATT